TCTATTCTATTCTATTCTATTCTATTCTATTCTATTCTATTCTATTCACCATACATGATTGGGAGTCAAGTCTTTGATCTTTTCTATCTTCTTCTATATTAACATCTTCTGAATTATTTCATCTTTGAAAGCACTTTTCTGTTACCCATGTATTCTGAAGATAGGCTGGGCAAACAAAATAATCTTTGATTGCAGCCTTTCAGAATATCCTCAGATAGAATTATCTATTCTTTTCTCTGTTTTGATTTAGCAAAACAGAACCTTTCTACATCATTGAAACTTTCTAAATAAGAAAATTAGAAATGTTTGGCTCTGCTATTGCTAAGATTTTATTGTTTCTATTTTTCCTGATAATTTTAAATATATTGCTATGATATTGATTTTATTTAAATGTTAATCATATCCTTTGAGTTTCCTTCAAAATAGAAATACTATAAATTTAAATAAACAAGGCAACATTTCACAGAAAATTGCAGCTATATATAAAGAAATATCCACTATTGTTCATTGCCCTACACAGAATTTGGTAGATTTTAAAATCTATTGAAATCAGCATGCTTAAGATGCATTCTGGCCTATTGCAGATTAATTTCTAACACTTCTCTCCTTGCTCCTCCTTGCTGTCAAAGTATGTGTCTTTCAAGTCTCAGGGCATCTGGGTAACATTTTGCTGTTGAACTCTATCTCATGATTTAGTCATCTCTTCATCTATTAATGGCAATAGGAGCTAATTTATGAAGTCTCATTCCAGTGCTTTTCTGTCCAGTATATGTTTCCTAATTCCATATTGTATTTGGAATGTGTTCAGCTTGCTGATTCCCGTTTTGTTTTGCCTTTATTTTCAGAGTCTATTGGATCACTCTAGTTCTGTTGTTAAAACTCAGCGTTCAAAGGTAGATGAACTGGAGACAGGTTTGTCTCACCTTAATCAAAATATGAATGCTCTGAAAGAAAAGGTAAGTGTTTAAAACTTATACATATTGCTATCAGTCCATGACTTTTTAAAATAAAAAATTGTGTTTGCTAATCATATTTGAGATTTGAAGACTTTATATAAAATGAGAATAATAAAAGTTAAAGAACATGTCTCGAGGTATCTTTAATAAATGCCAAATGTTACCCTAATGTCCATATTGCGCAGGGTGGAGAAATGCAGCTCACATCCAGAAGATCTGAGTCCTGTTCCTGCATCCTGCTGAAGGCATTCCCTTCCATGTGTGAAGGAGAAATGACATTTTTTGACAGGCATTTTTTTAGCCAGCCCTTAGAGATGAGAGGGACCCCAAATCCAAACAGAGGGTGAAGAAGCAACACAATAGGATAGGCAGTGCAGGTGCCTCAGGTGGTTGGGGGAGGCCTAAGGAATGGTCTACATGACATCTCTCACGCAGGAGCTGAAAACCCTGCATGGATTTTAGCAGGGAAGATTTTCAGCTTCTCAGTGGAGCTCTCAGTGTCTCTCCCTGCCCTGAGGTATCCCACATTCTTTATCTAGTACTGTGTCAGTTTAATGAACTCCATGATCATTTAACAACCACAGGATTGCAGTTGTTGAGCGAAGCAATTACATGGGCAGTCATGTGACATCTTCTTTAATGACCACTTCACTCAATAATTGAGTTTCTGGACTCAATTTTGGCTATAAGTCAAGGACTGTATGTAAGCAAGATTTGTTCAGTGAAGCCTTAATTTCAGATAAACACTGAATAAATTGTTGTAACTCAAGGACTACCTGTAATTGTATCATTTCTTTTATATTTCTGTTTGTCAATGTCAACGACACATAAAATCTATAGAAGTGTTTGACTTGGGGCATTTTCTTTGTCACTCTTTGTTGGTGAGAAACTTGGTGATCATCATTCCCAAAAAAGGATACATTGTTGCACTTATCCCCCAAAGCTTTGGTTTCTATCTTGAGTGAGCAGATTTCTCACAAGTTATCAATACTTATTTTTTTATAATGTTTTACTTATGTTTAATAGTTCCTTTGCTTTTGTATCTTTATATTTGTGTGATATCTGTTTAATAATTCTGGTAAAGTTTATGCAATAAATACATTTTAAAAATGTTTTAAGAATATCTAAAAATGCCAAATTCATCCTTTGGTCAAATTAGTCACATTATAATAGCAAATTATACTGGCTTCTACCAAGACATGTGATAATGAAGTAGAGTGGTACATATGCACCCAAATAAATCAATATGATTAAATACTTTTAAATCAAACTTTTACTAATGTTATCTAATTTTTAACTCACTATCTTAGGCTGAAGGTAATCACAAGAAAGCACAGACTCTTTTAAATAATTTTAGTAAAACTAATCAAAGAGGAAGAGCTTTAATTTCAAAGATCCAATCTATTCTCATCCATATTAATGGTAAGAGTGATGTCTTTTCTTCTACATTAAGGGTGGGAAAATTATATCAGCCTGCGAACCAAACTAATTCTTGGCTAATTTCTCCAGCACCATAGCAGGCAGTTTTCAATTTGTTTTCTTTCATGCATACAGAGATATTTACATTTCATTTAGGCTTTAACCATTTTCTGCTTACATCACTGGAAATTGTTTAAAAGCCTTAATGCTGTAGTAGTGGGAGCAGTTTTTGAACTCATTCTTAGTGAAAAAGGTTTTTTACTGTCCTCCTCAGTACCTGTTTCTGCAATAATAAGATATTGATGTGTTTGTCACCTTCATGATAGCCATAACATCCAAAGACGACTTGCCTTTGATTGATGGGTTATCCTCTTAATAACCCATCAATCAATAAAAAAACCTGAGATGGAAATATCAGTTTGGGACATCTGTCAAGGGAGATATATTATTATTCTAGAGCCATGTATTCAGGAATAGGTCTCATTGAACTAAATTAACTTTACTTCTGAGAAGTCGTGGATAAGATTGCAATGTTTTGATAAGCCTGCGTGGATTGGCAGTTTCTATCCACTGAGATAAATTAGGATGTCATTAATACTTTACTTATAGTATATTGAATGGAAAGTTCTACCTTTTAAATTTAAAAGAGGGATATGCAACTGCTTACAGGTTCTGTATTTTATCTGATTTATTATTGGTTTGTTAGGGCTCCAGTTCAAGAAGTGGTCAGAATAAGACAAAACCAATTATAATTAATATAGTTATTTTTCATATATTTAACAATTTTCCATTTCTATCACTACAAATTGATCTGACTTCTGGAGAGACTTGCAACTGTCCTGAAGAGCTCATGTTTGCATTCCTACTTTAAAAATATGCCACATATTTTTGTAATAGGGTATGGTAAAAGTTTCTTATTTATTCAAATAATGTTTTTCTTGTCTTAGTTCTCTTGGGACAGATAGACGGCACTTCTACAGAAGGAAACTCTTTGCCCATAAAACACTCTGCAAAAGAGCTGGTGCAAGCTCAGCAAATGATCAATGAAATGAGAAACCGCAATTTTGGCCAACAGTTATCAGAAGCAGAAAAGGAGAAAGGAAAAGCCCAACACTGTAAGAGCTGTAAACTGTAAATGTTTTTGGTAGAAAGGGCTTGATTGGATTTATTAAGGTGGGAATAGATGGAGAAAGACTGTTGCCTTACCTGGAAATACTCACTGAGTATGTAATAGATGTGAAGGAAGTTGTGGTCTAACAATGAAGAAAACTGGTAATAGTCACTTTAATAATATTGTACTTTGTTGTTGCTTGAAAGTAGTTTTGGACTTGAGTTGAGCTTTTGTTGTCATACAACCTTTACAGAAAGTTTGGAAACATAAAGATAAAAATATATAGGATTGAAGGATAATTCTTATCTATATTTACACTTACCAGGCCAGGTGATCTACCCAACTAAAAATAATTTCTTGATGAGAAATTGAATTATAGAAAGACTGTGAGACAAAAAGACTTGAAGGACCTGGTGTTCATAGGATATTTGATTTATTCCTGTTTTGCTTTGTTCATTCTGCATAGTGCTAGATCGAATAAGGAATGAACTAGAAAAGCGTAAAGCAAACAACCAAGGGCTCATTAAAAGTGTGAGAGATTCACTAAATGAATATGAATCCAAGCTCAATGATCTTCATGAATCTTTGAGAGAGGCAAAAGAACAAATCAAGCTAGCTGAAAATTTAAATGGAGAAAATCAACGTCTTTTGGAAGATATTAAGGTAAATCTATCTACCTGTCTACCTTCTTACCTATCTAGATTGATGGATCTTTATCCATGTTGTATTAAATGCGGAAAGTTCCATAATTTGGGGGAAATTTGGCAAAAGCTATTGCAAATGTTAATGCATCTGTAAATGATTTTGTGAATTAGATTTTTAATGTTTTTTTTTTGCTATTTTATTTTTTTAATATGCTATAACATAGTTTATCTAAAATAAATAATTAAGCAAAAGTTTAGTCATCTGGCAAGCCGCAGCCCATTCTTTTTGTACTGCAAATACCATGACTGACCCAATCATACCAGGACATGTCAAAATTGTTAGTTCATGTTCTGTTTCCATGCCAAATACCTAAGATATTCATCACTGTTCAGTAAAAGAAATAGTTCTTCAGCAGTGAATACAAGGTAGATTTAATTCAGAACAGCATTTGCTCTTGGTTGCCAAGCAGAGTCTTCTCAAAGAGTAATGCCAAATGGGAGGTCTTACCTGTTGAAAACAGGCAAGAAAGAGTGAGACCATGGACTTGCCTAGGGCCTAAATTCAGCCACAAAGTTGTCCTTGAAGGGCAGGAGCCATTAGGTACAGGACTTCACCCTGATATCCATGTCTCCATGCAGAAAGACAAAGCATCAATAAATAATGCACTAAGTGGGTGGACATTAGAGGCGAACAGGGACCTGTTCCTCCAAATCCTTGAGGGCCATATAGACCGAGACATTAGGTAGTTCAAGCACCTAACAGCAGCATATGACCAAGGGAGAAAAAAAATCACAGAGATTCTCATTAATCAGATTTAATGTCAAGAAAAGGATTCAGTTACAAAATTTTAGTTAACTAGAAAAGTATGGATCAATCCTAGTTTATTAGTAAGTACATTAAGATGGAGTGTTGATGAACGGTTTGAATTTCTTTCTCACCGAATCCCTAACAAATGGATTGACATTTCGCTTAAGAGGTAAGGCTGAAACATCTGTCTTCTATTTAGCTGCCATGTTTTGAAAACCTCTCTCTTCTTTCCCAGACTATGAGAATTCCCATACCTCACAGACCAATGGCTCTGTTTAATTTGATGATTTATTTGCTGAAGAGGTTTCTTAGGAAATAGCTCAAGAGAAAAACTCTTCACTTTCACACCCCATGGTCCACTGTCATTTTATACCAGATCTACATTTCCACCTTTAAAAAAAATGTTATACCATATCCCCAAATGAGATTATGAGTTAGGTATTGGCTGAATTGCATACTTTCAAATGCTTTTCTCTTCTGGAATATGCCCAGCCGCTTTCATCCCAATCTTATTGATTCTAACTTTTCCCAACCACTGGGAGAGTAACTGGTGGCCCTTCACTATTTTCAGGAAGTTGTTTTTCCATTGTTGAACCAGTCCTCTGGATAATTGCTTCCTATGAGAAATGTGTTTGGCCTTAGTATTGGTAGAAGCTGTTTAAAACAAAGCTTTAATAGAAAGCATTTAAGAGCTGACAGCAAATCATTTGGAGTTTAGGTTTGTCTGTTAGCTTTATTTTATAAAACTTCTATTGTTATTGGTTGTTGTTGGGTTTTTTTGATGTTTTGAGCTACCAAATGTCTGTGTATGATTGTTGCAGTATATAAAAATCATATTTAAATTAATGTATAAGTAGTAATTATGCTACAGAACATTATTTTGCATTAAAAAGGGAATCACTTTTTATTTTTCTATCAGAAACAGACAGAAGAGATGACTAGACAACAGAGTGCCATACGGGATCTTCTGAATTCTGCTAAAGCATCAGTGTCTCAAACAAACAATATATTTGAATTGTTCCAGAAGAGTAAGGAGGTAAATTTGAAAGAATTAAAGTTTTTATAAGGCTGAAAAGAAGAAAATAACATTCATATTATGATAAAATAAGAATATACTACCAATAATAACTTGGTTTTGTAGACAGTAATAACGTCTTGCAAAATATAGGATCTGTTACTATTCACATATGAAAAGAGGCATCTCTGGCTCAACTGCTGTATGTAATCAAAAGTGCAGCCATTGGAGTTTATAAAAGAAATTAAACAAAAACTTGCCACTTATTTCGTATAGATATGTAATGCATCTTAGTCACAGTGCATAAAACTCTCTTCTAATTCCAGGAATATGAAAGCCTAGCTGCCAATTTGGATGAAGCAAAGAAAGATCTGGATGAAAAACTGAAGAGCCAGTTCTTATCGTCCAGTAAGGAACCTTTGGTAGTGAAAGCAGAAATGTATGCCGACTCTTTACAAGACCTGGCAAGAAAGTTGGATGAGTATGTCTTCTTTTTTGTAAATTAATTGTTTCAGAATGGTTTGTTCCTTGCTTGAAGTGTATTATATATTGGACATGGTTCCTTTCTGTTGGAAAGGCAAACTATGTAGTTATTTATTTATTTATTTTGATTTGTCAGTCACCTACAAGATAATAGGTATAAGTATATATACATAGTTACCGTGTTTCTCCAACAATACGACCTCCACCAATAGGAAGGCCCAGCATGATTTCTGGACATGAGGTGAAATTAAGCCCCGGCCCCAAAACTTAGGCCTATTTAAACCATGCTTTTCCCCGCCATTTCTTACATCGTTCGTTAGAACTATACGAGGTGAAGAGAAATGGGCGGGGGAAGGGCGGGGGATGGGGAGAAAACTTGCCTTTAGGAGTGCCCTGCAGGTAGCCTAGGCTAGAATACCCCAATAGCCGATAGAAGCTCCCTGAAGGCAGAGTCCCCAGCCACTTCAGGGCATGGTGTGGCTACCCGTGTCCCCTCGCCTTTAGGGCAGTCTCTTTCGGACGATGGAAGCTCCCCAAGTGCACTTCGATCGGCTGGTAGAAGCGGCCTCGGGGCGAGCGCACACACACACTCCCCTCGCTGTGAGGCCGCTTCTACCAGTCGATCGAAGTGGCTGGTGACTGCATTTGGGGAGCTTCCATCGCCCGAAAGAGACTGCCTAAAGACAAGGGGACATGGGCAGCCACGCCTCGTCTTGAAGCGGCTGGGGATTCTGCCTTCAAGGGAGCTTTCGTCTGCTGATAGAAGCGGTCTTGTGGCGAGGGGAGTGTGTGTGTGTGTGTGTGCGCTCGCCCCGAGGCCGCTTCTACCGGCCAATCGAAGTGGCTGGTGACTGCATTTGGGGAGCTTCCATCGTCCGAAAGAGACTGCCCTAAAGGCGAGGGGACACGGGTAGCCACGCCATGCCCTGAAGCGGCTGGGGAGTCTGCCTTCAGGGAGCTTCTATCGGCTATCGGGGTATTCTAGCCTAGGCTACCTACAGGGCACTCCTAAAGGCAAGTTTTCTCCCCATCCCCCCCGCCGTGAGGCCGCTTCTACCGGCCGATCGAAGTTGCTGGTGACTGCATTTGGGGAGCTTCCATCGCCCGAAAGAGACTGCCTAAAAGCGAGGGGACACGGGCAGCCACGCCTCGCCCCGAAGCGACTGGGGACTCTGCCTTCAAGGGAGCTTTCGTCTGCTGAAAGAAGCGGCCTCGCGGCAAGGGGAGTGTGTGTGTGTGCGCTCGCCCCGAGGCCGCTTCGACCGGCCGATCGAAGTGGCTGGTGACTGCATCTGGGGAGCTTCCATCGCCCGAAAGAGACTGCCTAAAGGCGAGGGGACATGGGCAGCCATGCCACGCCCTGAAGCAGCTGGGGACTCTGCCTTCGGGGAGCTTTCGTTGGGTGATAGAAGCGGCCTTGTAGCGAGGTACATGCGTATGGGCCGCTCTAGGTGGGGGAGGAAATTAAGTCACCCCCGAAAAGACGGCCTAGCCGTTTTTTCAGGGGTCAAAAAAAAATAAGGCCCGGCCTTATTTTGTGAAAAACACGGTATGAATACATGAAATGGGTACATATAAGAAAAATAAAAGAAACAATAGGACACGTTGCACGTTGGTGCGCTTATACACGCCCCCTACAGACATCTTAGGAAAGGGGTGAGGTCAATAGTAGACAGTCTAAGGTTAAAGGTTTTTGGGGTTTGGGGAAGAAACCACAGAGTCAGGTAGAGTATTCCAGACATTGACCACTCTGTTGCTGAAGCCGTATTTCCTGCAATCAAGTTTGGTGCGATTAACCTTGAGTTTGTATCTATTGTGTGCTCTTGTGCTGTTATGGTTGAAGCCGAAGTATTCATTGACAGGTAGGACATTGCAATGTATGATTTTATATACCATACTTAGATCAGACCGAAGACAGCGTAATTCAAGGTATTCTAGGTCTAGAATTTCAAGTCTGGTGGCATAAGGTATTCTACAACGAGTAGAGGAGTGGAGAACTCTTCTTGTGAAATATTTATGCTGAAACTCATTTAAGAGGAATGGGGAGAGTGCTGTACTGCCTTGGAGAGATGAATGACATTTAAGGTATTGGGGGCACAATTAGGTTTCCTGAAGAGGGGCCCAAATGTTGCCTAGTCAGTGATGATGTTGCCAGTATGGCTGGAGCAGAAATTCTGAGGCCGGTATTTTAGAAAGTTGGCAAATTTTAAGAGCGGATAGACAGATGCCTCAGTTGGTCTAATAACAGATCAAGTCTGCTGGAGAGAAGAGCCTATGTTATCCTCCTTATCCTTATATCTTCTGAATCTTATTAGGCAGTTTTCCCTGCCCAGTGCAGATATTATAGGGACAATCCTTTTGATGGGATGTATACACTTAACTGGGTGCTGCGCCATATTCTTTAACTTTCTCTTCCCCTTTGTATGTGGTTGTTCCTTCCTTGGGTGTGGAAAGCATTGGTGTGCGTTTTGGGAGGTTTGTAGTTTTTGACATACATGCTTCTAATTTTTCAGAAAAGAATAGATAGTCCAATTTTTGACAATGTCTATATGGGACAATTTGAACTTGCTGGGCATGCTTTAAGCAAAGTTACATGTGTGTTATACTGATTTCAGTTTGAAATATAAGCCTTTAGGATGTATGAAGCATTTTACTTTGTTCAGACTAGTACCAGTATTTCTTAAACTTTGTGCTCTAAGAACCCTTTCCAAGTTTTATAAATTACAGAGGACCCAAAAACCTTTTTGTATGGTTTACATTTATCAATAGTTACTATACTAAAATTTAAAATTGACACCTTCTTAGAATATTTATTCTTTGTATTGTTTAAAAATAACAATATTAAAGCCATTATTTATATTAACAAATAACATATTTTAATGAAGAAAATAATATTTTAAACGAATTAATAATGAAAAGGGTAAGATTGTTTTAAATTTCTAAAAATAATGTATTTTCAATATCTAGCTAATAATATTGATTCTGCAGATCCCTAAGCTTTTGAGAGGTCCCCACGGGTTCTTGAACCATGCTTTAAGAAATACTGGTTTAGACTATGCCTTTCCCAAATTAATCCCATCCACCACCACCTCAAAATAATTGGGGATGAAATTATACACATTTCAATTTTTTATAATTTATTTCCTGAATGGATTCATTTTGATTTCATATATACTATTGTTAGTGATTGTCTCTTCTTTAAGTGGCAGTAAGCATTTCAAATTAGCCTATCATACAAAATATGCTGTGTTTAATAAAGTTGCATAGCCTAGACCAAGGGTGTCAAACTTACATTGTCACGGCAGAGTCATCTGATGTATCATGGCTTTTCCCCCCTTTGCTAAACTGGGCATGGATGTGGCCAGAGTGTGACACATCTGGCCAGCGGGCCACAAGTTTGACAGCCCTGGTCTACACCATCCATCTATCTCCCTCCCTTCTTTCTTTCTTTCTTTCTTTCTTTCTTTCTTTCTTTCTTTCTTTC